TATATATATATATATATATATACTGAACTACATTATCACATGACGCCTACACTGCTTCATGAAAGTGAAACCAATAAGTAATAGTCTTATATACCCAGCCTTTGTAGAATTTCGAAACTGTATGTTATTTCTTTGCATGTTAAGAGATAATATTGTAATCCAAGAACATAGCAAAACAAATAAGCAATCACAATTAAATTTGATGAAGCATCACTAAGAACAATTCATAAACAATAATGCCATGTAATTAAGTGCCGGCAAATTCACCTCACACACTATAAATTAGTAGTATGAGAAGCACACATGAATTAATAAACTAATATTTAGAGCATAGACAATAATATCAAGATAGAATACAGGTAAAAATTAAAGAGCACCCACTATGCTCTTGGATTCAATGTGATATGAACGTAACTCATCTTCTATAAGAGAAATATGAGTATAAGAAGCAATAGGGGATACAAAGTAGTGTTGGGATTGGAAGTTGGTGTACGGAAAATGGAGGAAAAAAATATGAAGGGAAAGTGAGTTGTTCCCTTATGTTTTGGAAAGAGCAATTGTCCCGCATTGATAGTGAAAAAAAGGAGAATGTAGTTATATTATGAAAACACTTTTCTTGATGTTAAATGGGTTGGAAAGAAGGTAAGCATTACGCCGTCGTCGCCGCTCGGCTCCACTTTGGGCTTCGGATTTGGTTAACGCTTGATTGATTAATTTTTTTGGATAAAATTTCTTTCAATTATTTAATTAATTAAACGTTCGCATGTTCCAACAACCATGGTTGTTTCTGAAAGGTTGTAAATTTTCAAAAACAGTACCAGAAAATGGCTATAAATTAGCTACTGATTCCAGAATTTTTCCTTATGAAATTTTCTGAACTTCTTCTTCTTCTACACAAATAAAATCCAGTGTGATTTACAACCATTAAGTGGTTCGCAGTTCACCAGCGTTTTAGGTACCGATACTCTGGTGAGTTAAATCGTTCTATCCTGGGAGGATAATATTCCAACACCTCGGGTACTTGAGGAGAATAATTTTCTTAAGGATACACTGTGCATTCAGTGGGCTCGATTTCATTTCGAAAATTATTTTCTGATTCTGGTTTCTTACTATTTCCAGTT